TGAACATATAAACAGTTTCTATTTCCTGTCATTTTTATTAAGGTTATATTGTTGAAAATGAATTTCCAAATTGTTATATTATAGGTAATTATAGAATTCAAGTATAATTGAATCTAATCGGGTCAGATTTGATTATCCTGATTAATGATTGGTTTGATATTATAGAACTGATAGGATGTGGTGCAGAATGGTTCTACCCTGTCCTGGACCAGACTAAACCCATTGACAACTCCACCTGCTTGGGTTCAGTCATTTTATCCAACATTGTAAAATGTGAACATGCAATAATAATTTATCATACATATGTTTTTTTAATATGATGAATATATAATATGAGAGGCATGCCCAATTTTCTACATGTTTTATCAAATGTTCTATATTTTTCTATTTTTATTTTTTAATTTAGGATATCACGTGTTGACTTGTTTGACTTGGACAGTTCAACTGTTGACCCACTACATGGAGGTTCAAATTGAATTTTATCATTGTTTTCAACTTGCAGATAAATCAGCCAGTTGGACTAGTCAACCCATCACCTAACCAAGATTCTGAGACTCTCAAGTCCATTTCACCACCAAATTGCTTGTTTGCAAAAAGAAAAAAAAAAACTGTCTTGGTCAACAACCCAATGACTTGATTGATAAATTGTTGAACTGGTTGATGTGGTCAGTGGGGTCACAGATTAGATTTTTTTCTGTTTTTTTATTGCAATTCCATTATTAATAGTATTAATTCTTATTTTCACACTTATTTTTGTTTAACTTGATGTATATATAATATTAGAGATGTACCCGATGTTAGAGTTTTTTTTAGGATAGGGTGTAGAGAGGTTTTTGGAAAAATTGAGGATGTGGGTAAAGAGTTGCATTTCTTTAGGGGGGATAATAGTTTTTCATATTAACAAGAAAATTTTCATTTAAAAGGAAGATAGGATGCAAGTTCAGGTGATGAGGCATCAGCAACACAGTACAAAGACCTGCAATATAACCTCCCAAAAACATCAACACCGCTCTGACATAACAAAGATTATCAATAATCCTGCACAATCCCAGTCTTATCAATCCTACTGCTCACCCAAGCCTAAACAAAACCAAAACCTAATTAAGATATGACAAAATCATTCCTGATCACCTGATAAACCCATCCCACCACACTCATATGTTTGTTAAGATATGCAAATGTAAAGGCTTAAATGTAAGAAAGTGTGTTTCATTTGTAGTCTTCAGTCAGTCTTTGGCTGTTTGTACTTCCTCCATTTCAATAGACATTAAAATGTGGGGGCTTTTTATTGAATTTATGATTTTAATAAGATATCAATTATTGTTTCTGTTAAAAAATTGACTTAATAAGATACTGATTATTATTTCTGTTAAAAATTGAATTAGGATAGAATTCAAATATTAGAATTTATAGCTGAATCCACACTTGGTAACATCAAGTGGGAAGCTTCTGGATTTCAGATCCAATCCAGGATAAGTATTCGACTTATCCATTGAATTCTTGTGTACCTTGTTTCAATCCAAATCTGATTTGTTTTCTGCTCCACTTCTATGAGAGGTAGGGAAAGGCCAAAAAGGACAGATTATTTGAGAGTTCACAACTTAGAGGGTATGTTCCTTGACAGAAGGGAATCAACTGGATTCATTTAACTGGTCACATATAACTAGGAATTTGGAATATGGCTCTGTACAGGCAATTCAAGTTGCTTTTTATAGTGTATATGGCTCTTTATGGGGAGCCTTCCTCTTCTAGGATCATCCTTTCCTGTATTAACATTTCTCATTTGCCTATATGATTTTTATTTTCTAGTTTGTACTTTTGCCAATGAAAAATGCATAGTTTTATTGGTCTATTGCATAGGAATGGACATCATCCGTAATTTATTTTTAATATGATTGGCATAGTTGCTGAGGCTCTAATGTTAGGCGTGGCCTTAGAATAATTTGTATATGTTCCAAAGTGACATGATATGATAAGTGGAAATCATATCAAGGGTATATTAAAACCATCCTTATGGCAAGGAAGACTAAATTTTATTGATACACTTGTAATATGAAGAAAAAGATGAAAAGATGAGGCTATTCAAGTTGCTTTTTATAAGTGGAAATTGAATACACTTGTAATATGAAGAAAAAAAATGAAAAGATGAGGCATTTTTTAATAATAATTGTCTAATTATATTGATAAAAGCAACAAAAGAGTTTAGAGTGCAATGTGCTTCATTACATCATCAGTACTCCAGAAGATGTGGTTAGATTCAGTTGATAACCTCCTTAATATTCAATTACAATCCCCCTTTGTCCCCCAGAACATCTGATTGCTTAATGCCCCTTCTTTTGCCAAACCATCTATTAGTCTGTTAGCAAGCCGTGGTACCTTCAATCTTTCCTTTTGTATTTACAATGCTAGAATTCTGTGTATGGAATTTATATGGTAATAACACACAATGTAATGATTACAACTTCCTGCAAGAATTAAAAATTAGATAATAGTTATGCAATTTGTAGGAAAAGAAATTGTAACCTTATAATTGGGGGAACATGTAGTGTTTTGAATAGATTACTACTTGGTTACCAAACAAAATAGATTACTATTCAAGAATCATATTTAGCTGTGAATATCAAGTTGGATTAAATCAGACTATATTTTTACTTCTAATGCATCAGATAGCAAAGGCGATATGTTTATCAAGTTCAGTTTTTCCTCCCTAAAATGATTGTTAGGTCTTGATAGCTCTGGTTTGTAATGTGGACCTCCTGTATACAATGTCTCCATGGTTCTGGTTTGTATTGAAAGATTAATTTCATATTTTGCTTTTGCTTTATGCTTTCCTGTTCTACCAGAAGTCATGTAGATACTTTTTGCAAGTGAATTTATTTTATGATTTCATTTAGTCAGAAGACCTTTCTGACTTACACCATTCTGATGGAATGAGTTTTTAACCTTCGTGGATATAGGAGATACAGTTCACATGGATTAAAGTCCTTTTGTTTTATGGATATAGCAATTACTGTGTGGGCTGCTTTTGGGATGGTATTGGATTGAATAACCTGAATACAGGACTGAACTGTAAACTAAATTTGGCATTCCTTTAAATAGAGTAACAGGGGATGAGCAGGATGCACAGGGAGGCAGCTGGGTGGAAAAGTACTTGTATATTTCAGCCACTAAAATGTAAAATCAGAGAGAATCAGTGTGCAGCCAAGGAACAAGCAGAAAAGTACTTCGAACAGTAAGAGAAGTGGAGGGAAGATGGAAAGTGAAAGGAAGAGCCCCTCATAAGCGGCAGCATTGTAGTACGTCAAAAAGTGAACATAAAACATAATAACTCATAAATCAGGCCCATAAAGAAGTAAGATCAATGGGAGAAAGCAAGGAAGGAGGGAGGTAACAGTAAGGGGAGGAAGGTTGGAGAGGAAAGAACTGAGGTGGGACTAGAGGAGAGGAAGGAAAGGCAGGTGGACAGAGATGAAGGGGATTCTGTAGGAAGGGTAGGGGTGGTGGAATCGGTGAGAGAAGACACG